AGACGCATCAATGTTCTGGTCCAATTTTCAGCTTCAAGTGACAATTTATCAGAATTTACTGCATCCTGAGAATATTTTCTCATTTCACAACAAAATATTCAGAACTTTTGTTTCTAGAGAGGAAAAAAACAGAAATCAGAAACATGTTTTTTTTATTTGGACCACATTTTTTTTTTCTCCAGACCAGAAATATCAGAACCTTTTGCTATAAACATCTTCTGGGTTTTTGAGGTTGATTATTTTCTTGTAGATTTCTTTTGTTTATTTGAAGCAACCAGAATCTTCATCCAGAAATGTTTCTCTGGATCAACTGTCTGAGCAGGGGGCCTCACCAAACCATCCTAGCGGCTATAAAACGGCCCCAGGGCCACACTTTGGCCCACTTTATCTCCGGTTCCTCCTGACCCGGCGCCGCTGACCCAGGTCTGTGGTTCTGTGCAGGAACGCCAAACAGATGCCGGCTGCTGTGTGCGATGCTCTGAAGGAGACGTTCCAGCAGGAAGGAGGGGTCTCTGCTGAGGAGGCGGAGCAGATGCTGGTCGCCATGGAGAAGAAGGGCCGTCTGCAGAGCGAGACCTGGTCCTGATCCGGATCCATCAGGACTAAGGTCCGATTATTATTCTACTGCTGCTTCCTGTTTGATTAAAGAAGTCTTTAAAACACGACTTTGCTTCATTTTCTCTTTACTCATGAATCCCTTAAAGGTAAAAACCAGTAACAGAACCAGAACCACTTTGATGGTTCTTTCCTGAAAGTTCAGGAAAGAAAGAAGCCAAAGTTTGGGTCGCTTAGAAATTAAAATTAGGGGAAAATCTCACCTTCCTAAAAACATCAAGGAGCAAAACTGAGTGGACCAGAACCTCGGAGTCTATCTGGCCAACAGCTGGAGTTTGGACCAAACCGGGTCATTAACAGAACCATGATCCCAAACAGCAGCAGTGGCCTAGTAGAAATCCAGACCATAACGTGATAGAGATGCTGTTTGGACCTTCAGAGAGCTCAGCAGAACCTCAGGGAGCTGCAGAAAGCCCTGATTCTGACTAAGTTCTGGAGGTTGGTGCTGAAGTTCTGAAGAATTTTGCCGTAAACTAACCAGACAGGAAGTTAACCGTTTTATTTCCCTGAGGTTTATCGGCTCCAACAGAACGGACCGGCTCATCTCCACATCAGCCCAAACTGGAAGGAGCTCCGGTTCCTAAAGGACCCAAACCGGATCATCTGACAGAAACTCGTGTTTGGTACCGTGGTAAAATCCTGATCTAAATCATTAGCGTCATCAAACGGGGAGTCCAGTGAGCAAACAGGAAGTCCAGTGAGCAAACAGGAAGTCCAGTGAGCAAACAGGAAGTCCAGTCAGCGTTCCCGGTTCTGGACCAGATGACAGCAGCAGGTTGATCCGGTTTGGGATTTCTCATCTTTGGAGCAGGAACATTTGAAGTAAATATCGGATCCGAACTCATGAATCTTTTTCTGAAAATACGTTTTAATAAAAACTTTCTGGAGAAAAAAATTGTCTCTATCATTAAAAGTATTTTACATCAAATCCAGGAACTGTTTCCTCTTTTCCTCAAAACTGGAACTAGGCCGAAGGCGGTTCCGTTTCAAGCATCTGTTGCCGTGGCGATGTCTCCTCGCTGCTCGGTGGAACAGACCTCAGATCGGCAGCTGCTGTGGCCGCTCTGCTTTCCCGGCAGTCTGAGATGAAGACCCGTCACGGCTCGGTGGAACCGGCGCCGCCCTCCTATCTGAGGGCCAGAGTGTGGACCTGGTAGATCTCCTTGGGGAAGTTGAGCTGCTGCTCCTCGTGGACGATCCGGAGGCCCGCCTGGCCCACCAGGCGCCGGACGATGTCCAGGTCTCTGCACACGCTGCTGTCCACCTCGTCGGGGACGACGCCTTCGTACGACACGTTGTCTTTGATGATGATGAGTCCGTTGGGCCGAAGGGCTTTCTGGCAGCGCTGCAGGAAGTCCACCAGGTGGTCGTCTGTCAGGTGACCTGGAGCAGAAGAAGCAAAGCCCAACAAGGAGTCACACAAACAGCATGGAGGGAGTAAATGATTTACTAGTGGTTCCTAGAATTTCTAAAAGTAGAATGGAAGGCAGATCTTTTAGTTATCAGGCTACTAGTAGCCTACTAAGACTAGTTTAAGTCCTTGAGGCACACACCCTGTTTAATTTTAAGGGTTGGCTTAAAACTTTCGTTTTTGGCAAAAAAAAGTTAGTTATGCTGCTATAGGCTTCAACCGCTGGAGGACATAGGGACCCCTTTTTCATCATTCTGCTTCATTCTATCTCTATTCTCCCACTCTGCAGAATCTATTAGTTCAATCTC